GTGAGCAAGTGCCCAGTCGGACCGCAGAGGATGGCCTCCCGGTGCAGAAGGGGGGCATCTGGGGAGAGACCCTGGTCGGAGGAGGCGCTGCGGTCGTTCCCCCGCCTCTACCCCCGACACCCGCGGGATGTACCTGCCCGCATCTCGAGAAAAGGTCACCTCCACGCCCTCCACGGCCACGCGCTCGCTCACCGCCTTCATGCTGATCTCCGACGCAATCACTTCCGGGCCATCCGGAAGGCACTCGCCGCGCGCCGGCCGGAAGCCCCGGATGTCCGCGTCCCGGTAGCCCCGGTTCTTGGCGCACTGCTCCAGAACGATGGCCTTGGCGGAGGCGTCCAGGCCGATGTGCACAGCGAGCTGCGTCCGCACACGCGGCGGCCGAGAGATTAGGGAAACTGAGGCCTGCTCTGCTCCCCGGATGTGGCTGAAGGGCCAAGCCCAGCGCGAGCACAGGGTTCAAAGCATCGCAAAGCCCAGATCAGGCACGCAACCTCCGGGCTTCCCCGCTAACCTCCCCTAATGAATGTGCGGGAATGAAAAACAACTGGATAGAAACCCATGTGGCATTTAATTTAACCAGTTTTATAGGGGCAAATATCCTTGCGGGGTAATGTATTCCCCTTCTTTTCCCTGGGGGGTCCCCTGGTAGCTAAGACTAGCACGGGAGTAGCTTAGCATTTCTGGGGAATCTTCCCTCTCTTGTATGAAACTCTAATAAAGGAAGTTAGTAACAATGTGATAAAATATTGTTAGGATTTTTTGAGCTGATTGTTTTTCCTCTTTGAAAAAATAGCCGTGGAGCATATTATCAAAACCCCTGGGACAGTTGTCTTAGTGGCATGGTGGTGTGTGTTGTGTTAATCTCATCATCTGGTCTTCCTAGTTTTTGGACATTTGTACCAGTTTTTTTATATAATGACTCTGTTCAGATAAAAAAAGGCTGGGTGTGATGAAGATGGGACCTCTCCAGACGGGCTACCCGCCAACCGCCCTGCCAGGCCCAAAAGGTCCTTTCTCGCTTCACCTCACAGGCAACCTGCCCTGCAGGGCCATGGCTGGGACCTAACCCAAGGGCCTATCCGTTGGGTGGAAACTATCTCTGAGTCCTGGCAAGGAATAAAGATTCCATTTATTTTCCTCCTTCTCTCTCTCCAGAATCTTCTTCCAAGATCCACTCTGTGTTTCAGCTTAAACTTTTACAAACAGACCCAGAACCTTAGAAGATTGGCTGGGACCTTACCGGTGGGACACGGGACCAGGGTGCACCTCAGCCATCAACCCTAGAACCAGGGTCCGGGGGTCCACAGGCTCCGGGGCTCCACCTCGTCATCTTCCCCACCCACCCCACCCCCACGTTCACTGCCTCCCCAGCCATCATTTACTTGCGGTTGAAGGTCTTCCCAAATTCTGGTGACCCTCTGCTTCACCTCCCTGTAATCTACAGGTAGCTGAAGAATCCGCAGCTCCACCTCCATGTCACTGTTCAGGCCCAGCTTGGACAGCTCCTGCAGAAAGAAGCAGGTAGACTCCCCTTTCTTGATGGAGGACGGGGGGAGTCCCTGAAAAGCTAACACTTGGGTCACTCACTCTTTTCCCCGGGCCCTTCTGTAGGCCTGGACCCTGCCCTCAAGGAGCTCACATGATGGTGAGGGGCCAGCAGGAGAGTCACAGTTCCTGCCCCTCATGGCCCCAAACGCTTCTCCCATTGGGATGTGGGGACCCCGGTGGCATATCTGAGCCAGGCTGCTGATGAGAACATAGTCCCCAGAAGGGATACAGGGCAGATGTAGAGAACAGATGGGAGCGAGCCAGATGAAGAAGCTAGGGAAGGGCGTGCCAGACAGAGGGGCTTCAGAGGCCCGGGGGAGCATGAGCGCCTGAGCCTTCGGGAAACATGGTGTGACTTGGCGCTGGGCAGTGGGTGTGGGGCAGGGGAAGCCTTCTTCCGGGTGTCCTGCACCTCCAAGGACAGGATGTTTAGCGCCCCTGGACTCTGAGCTGAGCATTAACTGCCTGTAGCACCCCCAGGCATTTTAACAAGTAACCTACCACCACCAATGGTGTATCAGGGGGCACTGCATGTGGGTAAGGGCGGGAACAGAAGCTAGAAAAGTCTGTGGAAGCCCGACTGAGGGCTCAGCTAGAGGTTGGACTTTAGTTAAAGCAAAAGGGAGCCATCAAAGGATTGTGCGCAAGGAGCTAATGGGTCAGAGCTGCCTCCTGAGAGAATGGAGGTAGAAGTGGGCTGGGGGCTATCACGAGGTTGACTTTGGACATGCTGAGTTTGAAGGGGAGGGACCTGGTTCCTTGGCTCTGTGTGTCTGGAGCTCACAGAGAGGATTATGGGAAGACAGTGGCATGTCAGGGCTGAAAAACATGGGTTTAGGCGAGATCCAGACAGAGTGGTGGAGGAGGGGGTAGGCGGAGAGAGGAAAGAAGGGCTGTGGAGAAAACCCAAGGTCAGGGAGCACCCTCCTTCACAGGTGGGAGTTTGGAAGGAAGAAAGCCAGGGAGTGAGATCTTAGGCCTGTGCTATTCCCTGTTGGGAAACGTTAAATCGGGAACCGAGAGGCCAAGTCCTTTTCCTGCTCTGGGAGCTGTGCTGGTCACCAGGATGGTTTTGGATTAGCACCTCTCTTTTTCCTGCCTCCCTCCACTGGCAATTTAGGACCTCCAGGAGCATGCATCCTGGGATGGACGTTGCGGTTGGGCTTGTCAGACCTGCCCAAAAGTCATAGAGGGGACAACCCAGGGCCCTGCCCTGGGCTTCAGAGGAGACAGGCGGGATGATGGGCCCCAGTGCAGGTCAGTCTCCGCTGCTCTGATGGAGGAGGGCACTCCTGGCCGACTTTTGGTGTCTCCGGTCTGTCCTTTGGCCATCCTGAGGGGCTCGGCTCTGCCCACCGGACACCCGCTCAGAAGCCCAGTTCCCCCGCCCGGCTCAAGCTTTGTCCTCTTCCAAAAGAAAGTGCCAACATCACATCCGCATTTGGGGCCTGAAGGGGAGAATTATTTGCCTGACTCTGGGGGTGGGAGGCGGGAAGGAGGGCCAGGTCACGTGGGGCGGGGGCCTGGAGGCGGAGCTTCCAGGTGGACATTCCAAGGGCCAGACAGACCAAGGGGGTTCCAACTCCTGTGTTCCGCCCCCCTTGAGCCCTGTCCTGTGGGGAATGAGTGAGACGGGAGCAGGGAGGCTGCTCAGGGCCCGGCCGGTCGGGAGGCTCCCAGCACAGGCAGGCATCACCCGGGGGCCACCTTTGCGTTTGTCATGCGGGTCAGGGGGCTGTGGCTTGGCTCCAGGCTGCTTCTCAGAACCCAGTCATCTGCAAAGAACTAGTTTCTTCTACTTGGTGGGGTTCTCACGGGGTCTGGCTCTGAGCAAAGCCTACAGAGGAGCCCCAGAACCAAATGGAGTTGCCTGGGAATCTGCTTTCAGAGCTAACCCCTCTCCCCTCCGAGAAGCTGCTGTAGCCCAGTCATCAGTGGAAACATCGAGTAATTATCACTAAGCCTGCAAAGACGCGATGCCCAAGAGATGGGGACATCCACCCTGAGCCAGGCAGGCCCAGGCAGGCCCAGGCAGGCCCAGCACCCAGCCGGCTGGGCCGTGACCGGTCAGAAACTCCCCTTCGCAGAGCAATGCGGTTCCGCTTCTGGATTGGCACACGGACGCCCAGACCAAAGCAGGCCGCAGCGGGGGCCCCCTCTTTTTTCTTTTGCCCCTACCTGAGCTTTTTCTTGCCACCCCACGCCAAGCCAGTTGAGAGGAGAGGAGAGAGGAAGCAAGCCCCTGGACATCTCACGGGTCTCCCAGCTGCTGCCGGGGTCCCCGGGGGCCGGCTTTGGGGAGCTCCCTTGCAGGACTTTCCTGTGGCTGTTGTAACAAAATGGGTGGCTTAGCACCAAACTTTATCACCCAAGCCTGTAGGAAAGAAGTCCCAAATCCAGGGGTCGGCAGGGCCGTGCTCCCTCTGAACCTGTAGGAGGAGGACCCCACCTGCTTCTTCCAGCTTCGGGGAGCCCTGGGCAGCTCTGGGCCTCCCCAGTGTCCCTTCATGGTCTTCCCTCGGAGTCCAGGTCCCCCCGTTTTATAAAGACGCTCAGCCCCTGACCCCATCTGAGGCCGTGATGATGGCATCACCCTGGCCAAAGCAGAAAGTGCCGGGAAGCCGAACTGTCACCCTCCTGGAAATCCCCAGAGCTGGTGTGGGATGGACGGCGTTTGACATTCGACTCGACACCTCTGGGTTTTTTTCTTTATCTGGAAAACGATGCCCAGGAGATTAAAGCATCCCGCTTCTGCTCATCACATGTTGCCTTTCAAGCGGCCCATCCGATGCCCAGGCGCACCTGACTGCAGGCTGGTGCACGCACGCCCCCCGTGGGGTCCAGTGGAAGTCGGTGGCCAGGGCCCAGCTCCACGGCTGGCCCCGTGGAAACCACAGCACAGGACACGGGGACACGGACTCCGCGTGGAATAAATACAGGTGTCACGTGCTGCATCCCTCAGGATCAGCTCAGGCCGTTTGTTGCCACCCAGGCCATGAAGAAAAACTTCTAGTGTCTAGAGACCTTTGGATATGAGAGTTGCACGTAAGGGATTGTGGACCCGTGTCAAACTTGAACTGATTCAGGTGGTGCCTTCCGTGTCTTCCTGGCGTATGTTCTCTTTCTAACTAGAATGTCACCCTCTTCCTCTTTCTCCCCACTGTCGTCCTGACAAGGGAAGAGCCTGCCGCTTGGCGGGTCTGCCCTGTCACCAGGGACTCTTCTCAAGTGCAGAGCCTCCCCTGGGAGGAGGTGACCCCTGCCAGCCACACTGTACGGCTGGGAGTACGGAGGCCTGCCGGGTCCCCTGGAGCCCTTCGAGCTGGGGGAGGGGTGGGGGGCGGATGACAACTAAAGCCGGCAGAGAACAGAGGACAGACGGGAGAGCAGCTCTACCTCCACAGGCTGCCGGCCTCGCCTGGGCCCTGGCCAAGCCGCCTCGGTGACCCTGGGAAGTCTGCGGCCACCCCGAGGTCACCAGGACAGGTGGGGGACGGTGGAAGTCTAAGAGCGTCCTGTGGACTGAAATGTGTCCCCCCCCCCCACATTCATAGGCTGAGGCCCTACGCCCCAGTGTGATGGTATTAGCAGACGGGGCTCTTGGGAGGTGATGGATGAGGCCAGGAGGGCGGGGGCCCCAGGATGGGATTAGTGTCCTGATAAGAGAGGAAGAGACACCAGAGCCTGCCTTTCTCTGCCACGTGGGGACACAGCCAGAAGGTGGCCATCTGCCAGCCAGGTGGAGGGTTCTCACCAGAAACCGAATCTGCCAGCACCTTGATCTCAGACTTCCCAGCCTCCAGAACTGTGAGAAATAAATGTCTGTTGTTTAAACCACCCAGGCTATGAAATTTTGTTATGGCAGCTTGAGCTGACTGATACACGGGGCTTCCTGTCAGTAATGAGGTAGGGCCTAGCTGAGTCTCAGATACATGCCCACTCAGCCATCCAGCTCCTCATGAAGCTTGAAAGGGCCCCACACAGCCTGGGACTGCAGTCAGAAGCTGACCTGGGATACAGAGGAAACTTTTCTAACTTAAAATCATCAAGAGAGTCTCCAAGGCACTGCTTCACGTGGACAGTCCGCTCGCTCTCTCATTCTTTCTCTCTCTCTCTCTCTCTCTCTCTCACACACACACACACACACACGCACACTTGGTGTCCTGGCCCACCTACCCAGTGCCCATGGCAGACAAAGGCATTTTATAAAAAAGAAGCCACGCTGGTGCTCATCACCAGCCTCAGCCTAGAACGAGGAGGGCACAGGGCAGAAGGGGGACACAGATAGAGCCAGACCCCAACTACAAAGCCACAGGGAGAGGCATGGGGTCAGGAAGACGCTGGTTTGAGACCTGGCTCTGCCCCCTTCCACTGGGCATGTTACTTAGCCTGGGTGCAACTCAGTTTTCTCATCTGTGAAATGGGGAGAGTGAAAAGTCGAAGGAGTTTTCAGAAATATTGAATGAGGGGATTCACAAAAAAGTGTCCAGCACAGTGCCTGGCACACAGTCAGGACTTTATATGAGGGATCACTGCTTATAAGTATTAATTATAATTGAGAAAGTCATGCAAGGATTTATTTATTCTACTAAAGTGACATTTAGTAGAATTTGATGAGCCTGGGGCCTGTCAGAAGCAGTGAGTCAAACATTTTGCATAAGCAGAAGGCAGGCCTTCTCTCTGCCGAGAGAGGCTGGTTGTTTTAGCAAAGAGAGTGTAGGTTCTGTGCAAACCTGGAGGGAGCCAGGGGTTTGTGCTTCCTGGATTGGCACACTTGCCTAGCTAGAAGTGCCCAGTGTTTTATGCTCAAGGAGGGGAGAGACAGAGCTGGGCACAACCACGCTTACCACGGCAGAATCCCAGGTGCTGTGCCAGCCAGAGGAACGACAAGGCCCAGCAGGACGCGGAGTGCCCAGGCAGGGCCCATAATCCCTCAAAAAAGCCTGAACCTCACCAG